TGATACTAAATAATCTTGTTCTTTGTTTCTGTGATACCTTCGTCCTTAACCAGGCAGCCGAGACGTCTCCAATCCTGCTCTAGATCTTTTGTTTCCATTTTCGTCAAATCTTTATTATTCCACTGATAAATAGATATAAAATGACATTGGTTGAAATGTTATGTGTAAATGGTACTGGAGATATTTAAAGCGTCGTATATGTTTTAAAAACAAAAATACAAAAAAATTACTTGTTAATATAATTTTCTGTTTTGCCAGCAATAAACTTAAACGTACATTTATTCTCTGTATACTATATATATATATATATATATATAAATATATAATATTAGTTTAATATTTTTTTTTTCTTTCTTTTTTTTTTTTTAAGTTATATTTTTGGCCTTTTATTGCCTTTATTGTATAGTGACACCCGAAGATATACAGGAAAGGGGGGCAGAGAGAGAGGAGATGACACATTCAGACCGGTATCTGATTTGGACCACATATGTAAGAGGCCCAAATCAGAATTATGTTTTTTTGTGCTGTTCACACTGACATATGAGCAAAACAAATCTGAATTGGGCCCCTTTATCTGCAGTGTGAACCCAATTCTTAGACGTCTGATAAATACAGGCCCTGTACAACATTGGACTGGATAAACCCCCCCTGTGTCATTGTCCTCCGTTGTTTCTGTAGGTATCCAAGGCCTCTGCGGACCTCATGAACTACTGCAGTGAACACGCCAGAAATGACCCTCTCCTTATGGGCATCCCCACTTCAGACAATCCCTTCAAGGACAAAAAACCCTGCACTATATTGTAGTGGATGCCACTTAGCCTTTATGTGTTTTTTTTTTTTTTTGCTTATTAATGTTGCTGTATTCTTTTTGTTGGGAGGAGTGAGGGGTGGACTGTGATCGTATTATTACCATGTGTTCACCTGTTCTGTTAACAATTCAGCAATCCAACCACCATTTTCTTTAAAAACAGCAATTTGTAATGAGTAAAAAAAAAAGAAGAAAAAAGCCCCACAACCTGTACTATTCTCTGATATTTCCCCTGGCAGTGCCACTGTTCAGTTTGAGCTCCGACCACTAACAAGACTTTGGCTGCATGAGGAGTGATGGCATCAGGTACATGATGTTGCTGAAATAATAATGAGCAGATGTTATTGTTTGAATGTTGTAACAGCACTGGCACTCATCAATGATTTGGTCCTTCCTATGTAAACAGTCTCATCTCCATTGGGCTGTGACTGTTCGCTCGTCTCGCTGGTTTGCCTTAAGTGGATTCATGCAGCCAAAGTTTCCCCTCAGTCCTTTAAAAGCATATTAGTTTTAAGATGGATAATAATGGCTCTTATCATGTGGCTTCAGACTTCATTTCCACCAGTATTTTCCAGATGTTGTGCAGTTTAGATCACTGGATTCAGGGGTTGGGGTTTACCTTGAGCTTTTATTCAAATGTTACCACAATGTATCTTTGATTGGGACGGTAATGTCGCCTTATCTGGTGTTAGAATTCAGATACTCAAAGTATTCTGCAACCGACTGGTCCATGACAATCCACATGCCATTTAACTCATTGTATTCCTGTCTGGGATTTGCAGTATGATTACCATAATACAGTGTTGTCTTTAGCCTATTTAATGAACCATCATGTTGAGATAAGTTCCATATAAGCATCTTAAATCCAAGATTATCTTTGCTCAGATTCAAGCCATTGGGATAATATGACCCCAGTGCTGTGATGCTTTTTGAAATCTGTCAGCTGTACATGTAAAATACAATTAATGAAGCGAAAATGAAAATGCTTTATCACATGAATGCAGTGCAGAATTATGTTTTTTTTTTTTTTTTACTTAAGTGTCAGCTGCCATTGTGTGTTGGGCAACACTGTGTAATGAAGACCCTGGGACCAAGCTAAACCAATGATACTGCATTGCAAAACATCTAAATATGCTTTTTAGCCATTCCTACTGAAAACTTTCTGTGGTACGCTATTTTTAGGACACTGACGGCACGATGTGCGTCAGTGAGTGTTACGCAACTCTCTGAGCCACGCCTACTTGCTCATCACAAGTGTCTTAGTGGAGCGAATGTGCACATGGTTCGTTGTCTTAAAGTGTTGTAGGTACAGGTGTGAATGGTAGTGTGCATTGATGATAAAAACCACTCTCCCAAGACTGTTTTTTTTTCACGTTTTTCAATTTACACTATAACATTTGTGTCGGTGCAGGTCTTCAATCTTCAGTCTAACATGTCCTTCATGTTGTGATTTTCTGGGGGAACATATCTGCTATGGTAAAATTTAACAAAAACAGAATAGATAGCATAAATAAAACACTTTTCACTCTAAAGCCTTACATATGTTTGCCTTGTATCATGAAGAAAACTCTGAATGAGAGTGCTTTCTTTAAAAAAAAAAAAAAGATATTTCTATCGAATGTTTTTATTTGTGGGATGAAAGTGATTTGTAACAATATTGTGCCATCTGTTTTTGTCCACATGCAGAATATGTTAAACCGTGTTTCACTTACCTGGTGCTCCACTTTTCAGCAGTTTTTGGTATTGTTGCCTTCTCCAAAGGGTACGTTCAGGTCTTCAAATCAGTGAGATCTGGTGTTATTATCAGTTGTATTTTTTATGATTGTCTCTAACAGTCAGTTCTTCTTACTTGCAATAAATCATTCCAGTATGCCTCTTAAGGAAAAGGTCAGATTACCACTGCCATGTCATGATTTCTGTCCATTCAGCAACTCTGTAACGGCCTTATTGTACCATTGATAGATTAATTTAACTGTCAAAATCTGCATTTTTGATAAATGTCTTTATTAATATACCGACCTTTGTATGAAGACTTAACAAAGATTAATAAAGTGAAGCATTCCTACAGTACAAAACTGTACTAATATCTCAATAAAGATGTGTTGTGCTGCACAGTCGGAAGATTTCAACTTGTGATGTCCACTGCTGTCCTGAAACCACCTTTTACCCACCCTCAGATCCACAGTCTTTAATATAGAAACCTGATGCTGCTCATTTATTGTTCAGATGGATCTGCCCACAGTGTATCTGGAGCCATTTCCTCTCATTAGTCGTTTATTTATATCTCTTTGGGGATAGGAGAGACCTCGGGCCTCTCACCATGGCTGTCAGAAACCAGAGAACACAAGAGGGCTAAATATAGAAAGTACCAAACCCTGATTTCCGCTCTTGGAGAGTGGAGTAACTATTTTGGGACAACGTCTGCTTGTCTGTGAGAGTCTGTTTTATTTTTTTCACTCTCCGTTGGTGGCCGCTCGGGTCTGTCTGACCTTGTTTCTGGCCAGCTGGTGGATGAACAGCTTGTTTAATTTTCTCACACACACAATAGGAAGATCAGACAGGAATAATACTCTTCGTCACCTATTGTAACTGCAGACATACTGAACTGGACCTGACAGCTCTCACACTTGAAACCGACAAATGATGAATAGACATTGTCACCTATTATTTATTGTTAAGGTCTAAAATATGAACAGGCTTTGCTTTTCCTCTCGTCTTTTTCTCACAGATTGTGCTGTTTTCTTTGAAAGATCAAATGTCGCTGCAGGGAGTGCCAGGTGCGTTCGCATTGTGTCGGCTGAAGAACACCTTCATTGAGTCCCAAAGATGGGACGCGCAGTGAAATCAATCATAATGCATGCTTCTTAGCTAACTTTTTGTAGAGGCATTCCTGTTATGCACGAATATGACACAGACAGCCGGGGTATTCTCTGTAAGCATGACTGCCCCTCCAGTAATGCAGTAATCCCAGTTTGTCATTGTGCATCAATGAGAGACTCATGGGTTGGGGTTGGGGGGGGCATATGATCAGCGGCTGGCAGGCCGGCTCACTGACCATGTGCCTCACTGTGACAATCTGTCCTGGCAGTTACAGTGTCAGTGTGTTGGAATGTGCTGATGTGGGGGAGAGGAAGGGGAGGGAGGAGCGTAGGGTGAGGGTGAAGGGTGTGGGCTGACAGGGTGGACCGCAGTGGCACCTCGGTTCCTCTGGTAGACTCAGCTGCATATAGAAATACACAAAGAAGACATTTGAGCTAATTTAACTCTTTAACTGCCTTTGCAACCAGTGCTACCACCGATTCCCAGTTAAATATCGAATTTGCATTTTCCACCCACAGCTAGTGGTGGAAAGTAACTGAGTACATTTAGTATTGTACTTAAGTCCATGGTACTACTACTACTTGATTATTATGCAACTTTATTCAGAGTCAACTGTCACTACACGTATTTTAAGGCCATATCTACTAGTTTGAGTTTACATTTATAATATATGATCAACTATTCACCATGTGCTAATAAGAATTATACATTTGTAACTTGTCCTGCAATAAAAAGCATTTTAGGGTTTTTGTAAAATAGAAACTTTTGTGACCTGGTGTAAAGGGGCTGTTTTGCACATTAAGCACTTTAATTTTCTTATGTACTTTTACATGCACATTTATAAAATTGCTACTGCTGCTTAAGTAAAGGATATTAATTAATAAGATAATTAGTCCACCAATGCCCATAAATGAGCTTTTTGCAGTCATGAATTACAACCTTTAAGGGAATTTTACTTGTATTTTACTTCTACAATAACATTCAGCTCAGTTTTAAACAGAGCATTTAATTAGAGAATATTTAGATTTTACCTGACTGTTGGTACATTTTCTGAATGACATCTTACGGCTGCATTAAAATCAACCTGATTTAGGTGTAATATCTTAATCAATGAGTTTATAGGTGTTAATCAATGAACAACTACAAAACATGTCTTTGATTTGCAGCTTAGTAAGAGAGAGACGATTTTGTTGAATATCACACTGTATAACTTCTATTTTATGGTGGATTTCCTCTTTATTCTGCAATACTGTTATCTTAACCTGATGTTTACCTTTCACCTCTCACCAAGTTTAGTGCATAGCTTTCTGTATGTTCTTAATCTTTGGCACAATGAGTGAGTATTGTACAGTTCTATATACATTATACCACTGGTTATACAATATGTTCCCCAGGTTGCACTACAAACTCAAAGTGCACCTTGACTAACCAGGTCATCAAATTCTGCCCTATTTTAGAAACACATAGATAATGCTGCACTTGAACTTTGACCCACAACAGAGCACAACCAGCAGACACTAATAAAGGTATGCAAAACCTCAAACCTTTTTTGGGCTGGGGAGGCCATAGTGGCGTTATAACACTTACATCAGCCCTCCACTGCTCCGATCTTAAAATAACCTTTTCCCTTCGATCACAACAATGCCACATTACATCAGTCAGCGTCACACCCCGCAGTCACACGCCAGATAACCTTTCACACACCACCAACTGAACACCACGGCTAAGAGGATTTTTTTAGGGCAGGGGAACACTTCAGGTACATTGACTGTTTCAAGAGCATTTTTACATCATCTCATAACGTATTAGTGTGTTTTAAACTCTTTAGTTTTCATTCATTCTTGACCTCATACAGAACACCTAATAAACCTGGTTATGTCATGTTTAATATACTATTATGGCAGAGAAATAGACAGTTTAAGTGCATTTAGTTTGCCTTTAACTTATTAGTATTACTGTCTGTAGTGGGGGCTTCTGGGTAATGTAGTGTGTAGGGAAACCAATCTGCTGAGTGGGACACTGAATCTTTACCAGGGCCTGGACCGCTACACTGCTGCACCCATCCATCATCCATCCATCCACTTTGTATTCTTGTCTATCCTGTTCAGGGTTTTGAGTTTCTGGGTCACCTAACCTGCCTGTGTCTGGAAACCAATGCAAATGCACTGTGACTAGATTAACCAAGCAAACTACATTAAATAACCACAGGGGCGCAGTAAAGATGAATGCTGCTATATTGTACAAACACTTTTACTACTGCCAGATTGTATTAAGCCTTTCATTCAGCAATATTAAATAATGTCACATGATCCCTCTCACATGTAAAGCTGAACCGGGTTGTGCAACTCAAGGACAGAGTCTGCCTTCTCTCTTCTCGTGATCATGACTCTGCACTTTCAGAGGGGATTGCCTGCCTTACATCAACCCAGTGACATCACCAGCATTCAACTCCAGAGAGATCACCTGTGTGTGTGTGTGTGGCAAGGGAGCGGGGAGTGGAGGGAACAGTTAAGGCCGGCTTGCACAACAGATTGCATGCCAGTGCCTTCTTTTTAAAATTTTCCAAGCAGTTCCAGTCATGTGCTCTTCAGTAAGCTACACCACACATTCTGGTCCCGAGGGCAGAGGCAGCCGGTAACACGAAGAGCACGGAATCACCTGATGACACCTCACTTCTATTATGAATATTATGTGTAATGCAATAAATGTAGGTATCTTGTGACCTTATTCCCTCTGTTAACTGTGCAGCGTGTGCAGTTGTCACATGACTCTATGAAGTCAGCTGGTGAAAATGCGAACTTAACTGTCCGACAAATCAGTGAGAATCGGTGAAAAGGGAACCTGTTTGGATGAATGAACATGGTCCTGCTGACTGAGGCAGAAGCCGGTGCAGAGAGAGCGCTGAGGATTATTGTTCTCTTCAGCTCAGAGATGGCACTGAGGCCACAGAGGCCAACATGACCCCTGTGATCCGCACGTGACTCCTCTTTACAACTGCAACTGCTAAAGGTCACAATTCGGCTCGGCTTTGCTAAAATTTCCAGAAATGAAAGAAGAAAACACGTGCAGGTCTGGCTCCAAAAAGAAATACTTTTTTTATTGACAGCAATACATATGTATTCAGATTTTGCAAATAGTTAAGGTAAAAAAATGAAACATAAATACACTTAAATATCATTAGAAATAACTTAAATTGTAACAAATGAATTATTTTACTTGTGGCAAAAAACCAGCTGGCATAGGAAACACTAAATACACAGAATGTCTTCACTGGATGTGTAGCCCTTCCCTTTTTAAATTATGACAGTAGCAACGTCAACATTAACAATTTGAATCAAATAAGTGAAATTGCAAAATGTCCAGTGTTTCAACAAGTGCTTTGTTTCTGCAGAGAGAGGCCGAGGCCTTGGTCCACTCAACAGCTCCATTTTCTGGTTTCTCCCCACTTCTCTGACTCGTCACAGAGGCTTAACCAAACACACATGATATAATCCTTCTGTACAGAGTCCGGCTTCACATTAAAAAGCACACACATGCTTTTTTTTGAATTTCCACCTTATGACAATACAAGTGCCTCGCTATCTCATCTTGGTTGCTGAGGCTGACAGACGCAACTCCAAACAGTCCTGTCCAAAGTGGAAATCCATCCCACAGCTCTTTTTTTCTCTTTTAAATACACCTCAAGTAGACAGCGGGGTCGGTTTTTTCCTTCAAATTTCTCTTTTCCCGTCAGCAGTGCTTTGGAATTTGATCTCTGGATGGTAATGTGTCCATTGGGGTTCACACCACTCTTCCTGTGCAGATTAGAGTCCTTTCACAGGTTTTTGCTGCTAGAAGTTCATCGCTCGGGCAGGTTGATAATGGGCACCCACTGGTCCATACAGCGGCTTTCTCTGCAGAATCGATTCACTTTGCTCAAAGCAGGGTCCTTCCATGATGTCGAATGTGGGCTCTGAAAATATGAAAAAAAAGGAGAATAAATGATCTATATAATATATCCATTTACAAGATACAAATAGTCTCTCTGTGTGCCTGTGCAAATACTAGGTATTTCCCCTCTGCTGAAATTCCTGAGAAGTCATATGAGGGAGGAGTCATACACATGTTTACCAAATGTACAAGAACAAGTACAGGCAAGTTCTTCCTTGAATAGGAGTTTCACTCACATGCACCATCCCTGGCCTTAACTCACAAACATGACAAGATTGATTGAGGTATAACAGTTGTAGATTGATCAGATACTTACAGTGACCAGGACACAGTGCAGATCCATAGGTTCACCCCCACTCTGTTTTCCACCTCCTCCTCCCCCCAGTATTTCTGCCAGGCGCCGGGTGTTGTTGACTCTCAGGATGTTGATGTCATTCTCACAGCAGAAAGCCTGAATGAGTGTGAAGTGGATCTGCAGGGCAACGTCTTTAACATCTTCATCATCGGTGGCCAGGATGCACAAAACCACATTATCAGGGTCTCTGAGGAGGGAAGGAAGAGAAAACAGACATTTAGTCTATTTATATTTATATTTATTTATAAGCACAGTATGTCTCCTGCTAGACACAAGTCCAACACACATGAGGATGTGTGAGAGATGTGTAACAACTGCCAGTAGGTCAGTCACTTATTATAACCTTGTACTCACACATTGAGTGATTTGGCAGCCTCGTAGACTCCGACTGTAATGCAGCCCTGTGGTAGCGCAGAGGTGAGGACTTCTTCCAAAGCTTTCGCCACTGAATCCATTCTGCAACACAGAGACAGATGCTTTGGTGTTAACATCGTTACAACTGTCCCACGGAAACTTTCCACCTTCCTTTTTTCTTTTCTGTACTTCTGGCTAACGTTAGCCGGGCTGCTAGCTAACCACCAGGCTTCAACTGACAGATGTGCACAAGTTGGTTTCGCCACGTAAAAACAAACTGACTGAAACTCAGAAAACATACTTTGACAGCTGTGGGAAAGTGAAACGGTATATTTAAGACTCATGTGAAGGTTTCTGGTCCTTTTTGTTCACCTTTAGTCGGCGTTGTGTTGACGTTAGCTACTTATCGACAAGTGGAGAGCGTCTCGCGACCTCAACAGAAGAGCAGTTATTTATTTTAATAAATTTGTTAAATGTGCTGCATTTTAATGTGT